GAGATAACAGTGATCTCCAAAAAATCTGAGAGTGAGCTCCCTGGGTTGGGTTTGAAAAGAGTGAGCAGCGAGTGGATGCATGGTCACAGTGGGGAGAGGTAGGCAGGGCCTGTGTGACCAAGTGCTAGTGTGTGGGTGTGACTCGGACTTCATCACCTGCTCATCTTGTCCCATTTGATCCTCTGCACAACTTCACTGTGAACAACTATGGTCATCCCTACTGCAGGCAGTTCTGTTGATGTTCCCAATATTTCTGATAAAGACACCCAAACTCAGAGAGGTTAGGGATCTGCCCCCACTCACCCTGTTGGTCAAAGGCAGAGTCAGGGCTCAAATCCAGGTCTATCTGATTCCAAAGGCCATGCTCTTGAACGCTAAGCTTTGCTGCCTCCTAGGAGAGCTGTTTTTGTCAGGTGAGGGTGTCTGACCTTGCTGGAGGGGATCCCCGTGTTCCTTCAGCAAATACCGTACACCACTAGGCCATCTTGGCCTTGCATTTTACAGCTGGGGCCACAGTTGTATTTGAACTTAGAGCAGAAGGCAAATGTGGGCTTCAGAACTATGAGGAACTCTGTAGCCTCCTTTCCTCTCTGTCCCCCACTCTCTGCCTACAGGGACCTCTTCTGTAAAGCACTGACTCTAAGCTGGGAGGACAGAAGAGGAGTTCACCTGGGTCAAGGGCTATGTCCCTGTGACTGGTGTGGTCTGAAACCCCCATTTCATTGGCTGAAGTATCACTCAAATGTGTCTGAGCTACTGGTCCCCAAAGCCAAATGCCCTGGTGAAACAGAACAGAGGAAGTCTGGGGTGATGGACACAGAGGTAGCACCTGGCTGGGCCCGCACAGCAGACACACCTGGAGAGACAGCTGTTTAGCCTTTCCGCCTCTGCTGAGAAGTTCTACCCAGGACCAAAGCCCGCTTGTCAAAGCCCCAGGGGAAACAGATGGGTGGACTCACCAGGGTTTTGTAGTCAATCTGCTGGCGGATGAGCTTGTCCTCACTCAAGGAGTAGCGGGCCTCTCCCGTGATGGCATCGATGGGGCCCTTCTCCATCTGCTGCTTGATGGCACAGAAGAGGGAGAAGAGAGGCTCCCCGGCACACTCCTGGAGGTGAGAAGAACCTCACTGGGAGGAGCTCCTGGAACCTCGGCGTGTGCTCCCAGTCCCTGCCTCTCCAAAGGGCTGCTTCCATCCCCCGCCAAGTCCCTCAGCCTGCCCCCCTGCCCCCACTTTGATCCTCAGCTCTTCATCTCCTTCTCTCCAGCTCCTCATCCTCAGGTTGGCTTTCCTCCTGGTTCTTTGGATCACAGGGTCTTTTCCCATTCTGCCCTTTCCTACCGCCACCTCTCCAGAGCTCTTTCTTCCTCCCCCGCTCCCCTCCCCTCCTCTCTGCTCCCCCCCCCCCACCCAACCCTGCTCTCTCAGAGACCCCATCCAAAGGCAGAGGTCAGTCCTGGGTGGCATGAACCCCTTAAAACATAAGTTACTAATTGGAAGCTGAGCCTCTTCCACCTCCCAGGCACATCCTTGGCTTATCTGCCCTAACATGCGGCTTCTGCACCAGCCTGGGGCCCTTATCAACCTCAGTAAGTCTGGGGCTGGGAGAGGGAAGAGGGAAAGCAGAGAATAATGGGCAAATTGTTTTTAGCTTCAAATGGGGCTTCAGCTTCAGGGACCATGCAGAGCACACCTATCCCTCCCCAGGCAGGAGGGAACCAGCCTCAGGAAGACTGTGTCTCTGGAGCTACGACAGACTGCAGGGATCTGTCTCCCTAGACTGTCCATGATGAGGACGAATTCCATTGCTTGTGGGGTTCTAAGAGTTCATGGACTCCCCAGTAAGGGAGGACTGGGGGTGTGGAATGATCCCCAGTCAGAGAATGAATGAGGCAGGGCCAGAAATTCGTCCACATCCAACCCTACCTTGAGGAACTTGTAGAGGAGGAAAGTGAACCAATTGGTCAGCATCTTCTCAGCCACTGACTCAGTCCTGTCAGCAGTCACCGAGGGAACCAGCAGAACAAGACAAAGAAAGAAGCAGCTGGTCAGAGCCCGTGGGCTGGGAAGGACAGGGGAGGAGGTGCATGTATTGATCTTGCTGCTTGTAGCATCTAGGCCAAATCTTGAGATCCTAATGAATACAAGAGTTTCATGGACTCTTAGACGCCCCCATAACAGTAAGAGGAGTTTTTCCTACAAAGCTGGAAGATGACATTTTGGGCTTCAGGCTGTGGGTGGGTTTTTGGCTGGAATACCTTAGAGCACCGCTGTCCAATTGCACGTCCCGTGATGATGAAAATTGTCTCCACCTGTGCCATTTAATATGGCAGCCACCAGCCACACGTAGCTACTGAGCACTTGAAATGTGGCCAGCATGTCTGAGGAACTGACACTGAACCCGATTTATTTTTAACTAATTTAGATTTAAATACTCACATGTGGCTCATAGCTCTCCTATTAGTCAGTATAGCCTTAGAGAACTTTATAGGCTAGATGTGTTCTTTTGGGAAAAAATACAAAAAACAAAAAAAATCCCAAACCCTGGCGAAGTACCAATTCGGCAGGGAATAGAAATAAAGGTGGCAGGAGGAGGATCCATATCAGAAGCTCAGATGGCCAAACTGAGCCTATGGCCTGAGCTAAAGGCCCCTGACACTGAGGCAGCAGAAAGCCATATACCCTGCTCATCCCAAGCCATGTTGAAACTGTCCTATTGCAAAGGCTACCACACCCTTTGGAACTTCCCTTGGGAGCCCTTCTAGAGTTTCATTTGCAATGACAGAAAGTTCATTCTTGAGTCTGACTTGTGTTTTTCATGCTACACCCCCAGCCCATTTATTCTTGGACTTTGGAAGTGAAGATGCAGCAGCAGTGCAGTCAGCCCAAGGACATTCTCGGTTGCATCCATTTAGAGAAAACGAATTACATTCAAACTTGCATTTAGTATGCGGCCAGCTCCAGAGAGAAACTAGCCCATCCACGTACGTCTGGATAGAGTTTCAAGTTGCAGTTGCCAGAAAATGCTAATAACTACAATCACAAGGTAGTTGGGAGGCCGCCAGCACAAAATGAAGCTGGGAAGAGAAAAGAAGGAAGAATACGGAAAGGAGGTGGGCAGCCAGGGGCAAGAAGAAGAAAGGGAAGGAGAGCAGAAGGAAGCAAGAACAACCAGGAGAGCAAGAACAGAAAACGGGAGGAGACACAGAGGCAGAGTGAGACCACGCCGGGAAGCTGTTGGTGGGAGCTCTGGCAGGCAGTGGCAACCCTAGAATTATGTCAGTGGGTGGCTGCGTGGTGAAGTAAAACAAAAATCAAAATGATCTACCTTGCTGTTTCCAAAGCTGTCTGCTAGCTCTTATATGTAGCAGACTTTTGCAGCTGTGCAGGCACATGCCCACGGCTTCAGGAAAAAGCCTGAAGTAAACACTTTTGAAAGGCAAATCTATCCACTGGACCAAGTGGGAGCCACCGATGCCCAGCCTGAGATCTAGAGACCAAAGATGGAAGTCCAGGGGACAGGCAGACAGCAGGCAAACGGTACATGTGTGGTCTAGGCAGAGGGTTGGATGTAATGACATGACGTGGGTGTTTTCTAACGTCAGATATGCCAAGGCCAAAGGCATTGGAATAACTTGGCCTAGAGGAGAAATGGTCTTCGAGTATACAGAAAGTTCACACGGAAGCACAGATAGAGTGAGAGAGTCCCTATTTCCTATAAGGCCAAAGCCACAGGATAAGGTTATGTCTTGACATAGGACCTTTAAGGTTTCAACAGTGTCAAGTCTGAGGCCTCCAGGGTGTTGAGTGGTGGACTCTGGGCCCATTTAGAGCCGACAGCAGGTGCCAGGAAATGCTTGCTGGGCTGCATGGGGTGAGATACCACTAAAGGACTTTTCTTCCGTGCTCTCAAACTTTAATATGGGTTGGGATAACCTGGGTTCCTCATTAAAATGCAGATTCTGATTCAGTGGGTCTGAGAGAGACCTGACCATCTGCATTTATTTATTGACACGGTCTTGTTCTGTTGTGCAGGCTGGAGTGCAGCAGTGAGATCACGGTTCACTGCAGCCTCAAACTCCAGGGCTTAGAGGATCCTCCTGCCCCAGCCTCCAGGGTAGCTGGAACTTGACAGATGCACACCACCATGCCTGGCTAACTTTTATATTTTAATTTTTGTAGAGATGAGGTCTATATGGCCTGCTATGTTGCCCAGGCTGGTCTCGAACTCCTGACCCCAAGAGATCCTCTTGCCTTGGTCTCCCAGAGTGTTGGGATCACAGGCGTGAGCCGCTGCACCTGGCCTGTGATTCTGCTTTTCTAACAATCTCCAGTGTGCTCCCACTGCTGCCCCCGACCCTCTGATGGCAGGAGGCCACGGGTCCTTTCACCTAATCCAACTTTGGACTTAGATAAGGCCAGAGGATGGTCTAAGTAACCTCTGAAGATTCCATCAGAGACTGAAGTAGACAGGGTCAAGATTAAGTAGAAGGGCAGAGAAGGAAAGATGGAGATTCAACCTAGGGGCAAGAGAACAAGAGGGTGAGCAGACAAGTCCATGCGTCCTTGACTCCTGAGGATAGTGGACAGGTTCCTCTAAGGGAGGCTGCAATGTAGCCCTGGCTCTGGGCTAGTTGGGAACATGGCTGCTCTCCTAAGAGCTCTGCCTCAGTTTCCTGGCACAATGAGCCAGGTGCACGGTGGGCTGGAGCAGGGCACACGAGACTGCACCCTCACCTCCTGAGCAGCAGCTTGGGGTGGTTCTTGCTCTCCAGGTTCTTGTCGATGAGGTCGGCCAGCAGCTGTTTCAGCACGTCTGTGGCATACTCCAGCTTGCTCTGCAGCACAGTCATGATGAGCGAGGCCACGTTGCCGCGGTCGCGCATGGAGAAGCTGCGCTGGGATTCGAGCGTGCGGATGAAGGACAGCAGGAACACCTTGTTGTTGATGAGCTGGGCGAAGAGCTTCAGGCCCTTCTCCACACGCTCCTGCCGGTAGCCCGGGACCTGCAGAGAGACCCAGGAGTTGTGATGCCATCGGCAGGGTGGGGAGCTCAGTGACCTCCCCACGGGATGGCTGTGCCCATACTCATGACCCTCTCACCTGCCACTTAATCCACAGTCCACCTGGCTAATGCTGTCAAGCCCTTAGCACTGAGTTAAGTATCTGATTAACCTCCATTGCAGCCTCTGGTTTAGCGATGAATCAACTGAAGCCCAGAGAGAGCATCACATGGTTAGTAAATGGCATGGCTGGGATGGAACTCACTTCTGCCAGACTCCAGAGCTCTTCCCTGATGGTGATGCAGAATTTATGAGGGGCCCTGTGCCATGGCAGAGCACCTCACAGTCCCTGTGGGGAACTCCAGGCAGCCAGGGCTGTCAGGGTTTACACCCTGACTGAGAATCCCCATCCCTGAGCTTGGGAGTAACTAACGCCCACCCCTCTCCCGCCCTCGGGGTGCTGCTGACACACCAGTGGCATCAGAGTCAGGACACTGGGTTCCATGTGGATTCTGATGCCACCTTGCTGGGTAGCACTGGGTAAGTCTCTTTCTTCTCTGGGGACCCACATTTATCCACATAATAAAAGGGGAAGATTGAGCCCAATAGTCTCTAAAGAACTTCTGAACTGTAACACTTGATGTTTTCTTAGGGACTAAGACCCTGCCCTACCCAGGGAAGAGGAAGATGGTTTTATCTCCCCACCTCCATCGTCTTTTCATTGAGAGATCCCTGCAAGGGGGTGTCATCCACTCAGCAAACACAAGTCAACGACTCAGGTAGGTATGGAAGACCCACCCCTGAGATGTCCAAGGGTGTGCATTGCAATCCTGTCAGTAATAGTTCCAAACTGGAAACACTCAGATGTCCAGCAATAAGAGAACAGGTGGAGGAACTGTGGTGTATTCCACCTGATGGATACCACGCAGTGATGAGAATGAATGACCTGTTGCTACACACGGTAACAGGGATGGGTCCTGCAAATGTACCGAATGGAAAAAGCCAGATGCCAAAGAGGGCATGCTCTTTGTAGAATATCATTTAAATAAGGATTTAAAGCACAGATGAAATTAATCAACGGTTGTAGAAAAGTGGCTGCAACTAAAAGGGGGCACCCTGGCACTCCTGGGGGGCTGGTGATTTCTGTTTGGTGCTGGGTTGATGGGTGTGTTCACTTGGGGAAAAGCCATCGAGCTGCACGCTGACAAGTTGTTTGTGCAGGATCTGTTGCATACTTCTGTTAAACTAAAAAATTTATTAAAAAGTCAGCTATAGGATCCACCCCCAGGGGGGAGCTTCTGAGAACACTGCAGGTGTGTCTCCTGGAGTGCTGGAGGAGGCAGGAGACGGGAGGGGCAGCCTGGGGAGGTACCTTTGGAGCCACATCTTGAGGGCTCTGTCTCCCCAAGGGAGTGGACACCTCAGTTCTTTGAGAGGGAGTGTCATGTACGTAGCAGTAATGAACCTGGTTTCAGAGTCAGTCATGCTTGGGTTTAATTCTGTCACACAGTCATTGCCTAGGGCCCTTAGTAGACTCAGTTTCTTCACCAGCAAAATAAATGTAATGATAGCTAATACTGATATAGATTTTTACTCCACACTGCTGTTCTGTGTGCTTTAGAAATACTGACCCACTTAACCACACAGCACCAAAAAGGTAGGTGTGTTATAATCCCCATGAGGGACGCTGTGAGGATAAGGAGCTTCCAAAGCCCCAAGACAGAGAAGGGCAGAGGGAGGTCATGAATCCAGGTGCTTGGCACCTTGTTCCACTGTCCCCAGAGAAACAGTGAACTGAAAGCAGAGATGTATGAAAAGCTGGATGCACAGCCCAGCTCCTAAATGGCTGCTACATCCTCCTGCTCTACTCTTGAGGTTTTACACTCAGGAAGATGGAGATGGCCAGAGAAAGCCTTGTTTAACCAACATTGCAGAGGGTGGCAGAACATTCATGCCCCTCATTACCAACTCCCCATGTTCCAGGCTCAGGGCAAGGCGCTGGTGGGAAGCAGAGTCCAGTCAGACCCAGGCCCTGCCCTGAGAAGTTCAACTAGGAGACCTGCCCCAGTGAGTCCTGAGGCCCCTTCCATAGCAGAACTCTGAGCCGGGCCTGCACCCTGCACAGAAGGGCTCTCGTTAAACCCTCCTACTCGCCTGGCATCAGTAGCTCCCATGGATCTGGAAGCTGTAGGAAACATGTGTTTCCAAATCAGGTCCATTTTCATTCATCTCACTGTGGTGCTGGTCCCTGGAGGGCCAGTTCTCAGGGGACAGATGGGAACAGCCAGAGACAAGCAGGCTACTGCCGGCCATTGCCCCTGCTGGGGAACCCCTCATCTTCCAAGGTGGGACTAACCTCCGCTTCCTTCATGCCCACCTCCCCCAGTTCTCCCCTCTATTGATGAGGGAAGGACAGCTTTACCTTGCCATCAGCCTGGGCCTCAATCTGCCCATCCGTCTGTCTTCCAACTCTGTGATCACCCCCCTCCTAGTCATGGCACTGTCCTTCAAATTACCCAGAAGAGCAGTTTTACGACTTGTCCTAATAATAGTAGATAATGTCATTTCTTGGGCACCCACCATGTGCAATGCACAGTGCCTACACATTACACACATTGTTTCAATTAAGTCTTCTAATAATCCTGTAAGAGTGAGTTAACAATCTCCCAGAGAAGCTACTGCAGCTATTCCAAGGCAGCTTGTCTCATGATGGTCAGTGCTGGATTACGAAACACAAACTTTTTGGCTCCCATGTGCCCGTGCGTCCTCCCCATCTTTCACTATGTCTAGTCCTACCCCTGGGCTTGAGAGCTGTCTGAAAGCCAACTCGGACATCTCTCTAACGCCTTCCCATGCAGGGCCTCCCCCCCAGCTCAGGCTGGCTGGCTAAGTGAGGACATCGCCAGAAGGTTTAGCACAATGGCATTTTGAGAGCTGAAAGAGGATATGGGCTGGCCAGATAGCACCCTTGGTGTGAGGATGCACTCTGGACTTCTTGTGAGGTTGTACTTTCTCTGCGTGGAAAATGCACATGCCTCCTGGGAAGCAGGTCTGGGACCCTGGGAAGGAACATTTTAGCAAAGCCACCTACAGTGAAATAGCACCCTATTCAGCAGCATGGGTTTTAGAAGCAGAGAGACCACAATGACTCGTAGGTGAAGAAAACTCCATCACCTCTGGGCTCTATCGCTTCGTCTGTAAAATGAGAATATGAGTGTCTGTGTCATAATGTTTTATGAACATTAAATAAGATAATGTATGTAAAGTGCTTGGCGCGTACAGTGCACACTTAAATGGCAACAGTTTGATGACCTGCTTTTCAGACTCCCTGGACTGCTTTCCATGGATCCCTTTCCTCCAACTGTTTCCCAGACATCTGGTGCATCAGGACAGTGTTTTGGGGCATGGGAGGTAGGAATTCTCTCCCCACTTTATGAAGGAAGGAGATGGAAGTGAAGTATCCAAAACAGTTCCCCATTGTTACCCACCACCCTCCCCAGCCCAAGCAAATGCCGCTCTGAAACAAGACTTTCTTTATTCACCAGATGGTTCTCTAATTCAGTTGAAGTCTGTGAGTATAAAATTGGTAGTAAATTTTAATTGTAACCCAATAGGTTAGAGTTTAGGAGCCAATGATAGATTGAAATTGGGAGTGGAAGATTGACTGCTCTGTGTTTTAAAGGATTGGTACATGACAAGAAAGGTTGGGAAGCACCTTTCTTGAAGGCCTGGATTTAACCCAGAGAGCCCCAAGTGAGGGGGCCAGGTGACCTCCCGTCCAGGACAGCCTGAAGCAAGAGGACACCTCCTCCTTCACAATTCCAAAGGTGAGCAGGAACCCCAGTGGCTGAAAGGGCTTGGAAACACTGATATGGATGAATCAATGGCTTGTTTCCATACTCAGAACACCAAGAGGGAGAGACTACTCCAGGGACAAGAAGGGGTTGGAAAAAAACAAATAAGAAAACAGTGATCCACACACAATCCCTTGATTTCACATAGAAGGCTGGCTCTCCCATAGCTCCAGGCTAATGTGGGCCGGTAAAAGTTCTGGGAAAATCCAACTTAAAAGTCACATTTTTAAAGGAAACCTACTTAGATTTGGAATTTTGAACTCATGAAGAAAGGAGAATAACTTTATATACTCATCCCTGTTGAAATCTTATTTAGATTATTCTCCATCCCATCCATAGAGTTGTATGGGGATGTTCAGACATAATTTCCCTTCCTGCAACCCCCATTTCCACCTTAATTCAGCCAAACACACAGATACTCATTTATTCAGTCATTCACCACTTCCCACATGCCCACTATGTGCCAGGTACTCTACTCTGCTGGAACTTAGAACTACAAAGATAAGTTAGGTGCAGGCACAGTCTACACATCCAGTCATACACACTCGTGCACACAATGGTGTTATCTTCTCGTCACTCCCGTGCCTCACTTTAACCAGGAATTTGCACGTTCTCCAAGGCCCTAAGAGAATCCTGGTAATTTGAAGCAAACAAAGGTAAGGGTGGAAAAAGATAAAAGAAAGGGAAACGCCTGTAATCCTAGCACTCTGGGAGGCCAAGGGGGGCAGATCATGAGGTTAGGAGATTGAGATCATCCTGTCCAACATGGTGAAACCCCTTCTATACTAAAAATACAAAAAAAATTAGCCAGGCGTGGTGGTGCACGCCTGTAGCCCCAGCCTCAGGAGGCTGAGGCCGGGTAATCACTTGAATCAGGGAGATGAAAGTTGCAGTCAACCAAGATGGCGCCACTGCACTCCAGCCTGGCGACAAAGCAAGACCTTGGGAAAAAAAAAAAAAGGAAGAGAAAAATGAGTGGGGTTGGGGGAGGAGCAAAGACAAGGGACAAGACTAAGGAAATGTCAGTGAGTGTATGTGAATGCATGAGTGTGTGAGCATGTCAGTGTGTGTGGGCATGTATGTGTGAGTGCACGAGTGAGTGTATTGAGTGTGCATGCATGTGTGCACGTGAGTATATGTGTGAGTGTGAGTTCATGAGTATGTTTCAGTGACTGTATTGTATGAGAGTGTGTGAGTGTGAGCATGTCAGTGAGTGTATGTGGGGATGTGTGTAAACATACAGGTATGTTTATATATATCAGAAGCTCAGATAAAAGTATCAGGATACACATAATGTTTTTATTTATGCACTGGCTACACATACACATGCACACATACACACATAGAGGCAGAGAGAAAAGGTGCCTTGTCGATCAGGACACAGAGACCATCACTTTCAACTTCTGAAAGTGTCTCTTGGTATCTATCAGCTGAGGAGCCAAAGGGAGCCTCCTCCATATAGCAAAGCCCATGCCCTCACTATAGAAACACACACACACACACACACACACACACATACACTCACACACGCTTCATGCAACAAGCAAGTATGGCAAAATGTGTGTATGCCACGAATGGCCCTCTGGACTTCTCGCATTTGCCGCAGAGGTGCACAGCCCACTGCATTTCCCTTGGAGAGCCCGCTTAGACATTTCCTCAGGTGTCGGTACCTGCAAACCCAAGCAACTCCCTCGTGATTGGTCTGCTTTTATTTTATGGACACTGTAAATCCTGGAATGAACCTTAGTTTGCATTGTTGCTTTGGCTGTAGATTTTTGATGCATCCAGAGCTATAAGGCAGGTCACTGACATAGCTCTCCAGAAGGCAAGCACACAGGTTTGTCGTAGGGAGTAAAGACACTGAAGTCTAAATGCCTGTGCTCAAATCTTCCTTCTGCCCCCAGCAGCTGGGAGGCCCCAGGCAGCCACTGAACTCTGGCCCCTTAGTTTTGTAGCCTGTATAATGGGCTTGCTTACTGCAGAGGCTTCTTGGGAGGTGAAATGAATGAGTGCCTGCAAAGTGCTTAAACTGTGCTAAGATGTCAGTAACTGTCAACTAATAGTGATTATTCCTTAGGATTATTATTTTGTCCTGGTCTTTCCTCATTTATATTTTTCACTTTCCTCTGATGTTTATCTCTATAAGCCATTTGACAGCCCTTTCAGAACAAAGTGTAATATGAATAGACACCTAAGCCAGATACCATGCTGGACTGTAAGTGGGATAAAGTGTTCAGAAGATGAGGTCCCTGCTGGTAGAAGAGAGGGTTATGATTTCTCACTCACATTCCCACCCACTTCCCAACACATCATTGACCTTTTCCAATTAAGCATTAAGTGGCAAATCCCTTATATATTGAGTACCAACTACGTGAGTCAAATCCCCTACTTCATGGACACTTAACCAAAGGTCCCTGAGTCTCCCCAAGGTATTTGCCATGTTTCTTGTTTCTGTGTGTATATAGGTGTTTTTCTGGGAAGAGGGTCATCAACTACTTCCACTCAATTCTGAAAGGGCTCCCTGACCCTCTAAAACCCAAAGCCCTACTCACACCTCTGCTCTGAGGTTCCCTGGCTTGGTCCTGCCTCTTTCAGAGGGATGAGCTGGTGCTGATAAGCTGGGGGACCTTGGGCGGGTTGTGTCCCCTCCCTGGCCTTAGCTTTCTCACCTCTGAAAGAGGGTGATAGACTTGAAGATTGCCAACACACTCCCCGTCTCTAATGCCAGGATGGGGTACTGCTTCTTACCTCAAGGTCTCGGAGGACAGGGTGGTCTTCAATTCCTGGGAACAGCACCCGCATGGTATAGGTTCTGTAGTCCAGGAAGGGAATCCCGGCTCCATCCAGGTCACTGGTCAGCTCATGGATGTCCGTCTGCAGCTCGGCAAAGGCTATCATGAAGAGAAGCCTGTGAGATGGCTGGATGGGGAGGCCCCAGGAGTCACCTCCATTTCAGAATGCTCAGAACCCAAGCCCCTAGGAGACATGAGCAGTGGACCCTGATGGGCAGGAATAACTGGAGAGGCTATGTTTACACAGCTGGGATTGGGATGAATGGCATTAGCATGGGAGAAATACGTGGTGCAAGAAACCTTGTCTTGGAGCTAAAACCTTTCCAAGGTGTGGGTGGGGTGGGGGTGAGGCTGTCCACAGGTCTGTGCTGCTGCTAGGCTAGGAGAGACTCCCCATATGAAGATGAAGGGCTTTGGTTTCCAAAATATGCTGGGGAGGGGGATGTAGAGGGATGGGTAAGAAAAGGAAGAGATGCCATGAGGAAGAGTGCACTCTTGATGCTGCATTTGGTAATAGATTTCCTTATAAGATGTTAAGAACAATTTCTGATAAAGAGAAACAAGTTTAAAGACACAAGTCTGGACCATGCAGCTCATCAGAGCCATCAAACCTCCAAATCGGGCAGAGACGGAGGCTCACACACACTAATATAGTCCTTCTGTAAAAATAGGCAGGGTATTTCTTTGTCCTTCCTTCCTCAAGGTGATGCTACTTGACGGTGAATTATGACCTGCATGTGGGTGTTGCTGTATGTGGTGGCAGCTCAGGCCTCCAGATGAGCAGAGTGGCAAGACGTCTCAGGAAAGTCCAGCATGCGGTGCAGCCTGAAGTTGTTACATAGCTCCAAAGCTGTCACCATGTTCTGTCCTGGGCACATCCTCCCCCAGGGCCACCCTCTGCCACGGGGGTACTCAAGGGTAAGGCACCAAACCCTTCCCTGCTCCACCTTTCTCTTTGCTATGTGCACACCCACATATGTGTGCATGTGTGCACACGGACAACCAGGACAGATTAACACATGTTGGCAAAGAAGAACAACAGTGGGCACTGACTACTAAAAAATATTTTTCTATTTACATAATCCCAAAAGTAGGGGGGAAATATTTTGTGAACTCAGAAGGGACAAACAAGCTCAATGTGGTTCTAGAGCCTCAAAAAGCCAGCCTAGCACCCCGTGAGCTGTGATGATCACAGAAACACAACACAGCCACCCTAGGAACTGTCGACAGGGACCCCAGTCCTGCCCTTCCTCATGTGTTGCGTGGAGCTCCACCCTGCAAAGCAAACTTCAGGCCCTCAGATTTAGGCTTTCTGTGCCCAGAGAATACCAAGATTGCTCATTTGAGAGAGCCAAAGGGATGTCACCTGGAGAGGCCTCTGCAGCCTCTCCTGCTGCTCATCTCTCCCTGCACCCCTGCACATCTGTGCTGGCCACACAGACACAGGGGTTCCTGTTACGTAGACTGACCTCAATAGAGGCAAACCCAACTGCATCCAAGTGGAGCCTGCACCAATGTGTGTGTGTTTTTGGCATGTGCTGTCACCAAAAACCCTGGGAAACACTCATCATGTATGTCCTGAATGAGGAAACACATGTGCGCATGCTTATAGAAAAGTGGGAATATGTGCATGAGCATGGGTGTGGGTGCATGAGCATATTCTGAGTGTGTGTGAGTGTGTGAGTATGACCATGTGAGAGCACGTCAGGGAGTATGTCTATGCCTGTGTATGAGCATGTCAGGGAGTGTGTGAGTATGACTGTGTGTGAGCATGTTAGGGAGTGTGTGTGAGCATGACAGGGAGTGTGTATGACCGTGTATGAGCATGTCAGGGAATGTGTGTGTATGACAGTGTGTATGTCAGGGAGTGTGGGTATGATCATGTGTGAGCATGTCACGGAGTGTCTGTGTGTATGACTGTGTGTGATCATGTCAAAGAGTGTGTGTATGACAGTGTGTGAGCATGAGTGTGTATATGACTATGAGCACGTGTGCATGAGTGTATGTCAGTGAATGTGTGGGCATGTGTGAGTGTGAATGTCAGTGAGTGTGTATGCATGTGTGAATGTGAGTGCATGGGGCTGTGAATGAATGTATGTCAATTAGTGTGTATGTGTGTGAATGTGAGTGCCTGCGTGTGGGTCTGAGTGTGTATGTGTATGTGAGTGCATGAGTGCATGTGTGTGTATGCATGTCAGTGTGAGTGCATATGTGTGTGCTGGTGTGTATGCAAGTATGAATGTGAGTGCATGAGTGTGAATGTATGTCAGTAAGCATGTGTGACTGCATGAGTCTGTGCAATGCACATGTATAAGTGCATGGGTATGTGAACATGTCAGTGTGTGCATGTGAGTTGAGTGCATGAGTGTATGTGTTCATGCACGTGTGCATGTGAGAGCATGTGTGTATGCATGAGTGTAAGTGTATATGTAAGTATATGTGTGTGAATGTGAGCACGAGTATGTGAGTGCTTAAGTGTATGTCAGTGAGTGTGAATGTATGAGTGTGTGAGCATGTCAGTGTGTGTGGGCATGTATGAGTGCATGAGTGTATTAAGTGTGCATGCATGTGTGCATGTGAGTACATGTGTGAGTGTGAGTTCATGAGTATATGTCAGTGACTGTCTTGTATGAGAGTGTGTGAGTGTGAGCATGTCAGTGAGTGTATGTGGGGATGTGTGGTAATGTGTTTAAATAGGGGTATGTTTATTATCAGAAGCTCAGGCCCATGAAGGGCCCAGCTGGGTGTCTTCTAAGTCTGTGTGAAGGATGTCCTGGCTGGCTATGAAGCCTCCAGGAGACCCTTTGGCTTGGCCCAGTGCAGCTGGCTCTGGGCACCCTGCAAAGTGCTTCTGTGGCTAGTCTGACAAGTCCTTTGCTGTAAGAACCCCTCTTCCTACATGCACAGCATAGCTTGCCCCTAAAGTCTGAAGCCAAGGCTCCCTCCTGGGGCCTTAGCTGATAATCCTGGGTGGGAGCTCCCCTTGGCTGCCCCCTCCCAGGTGGGGTGCTTGGCCCACAGGGAGGAGAAGGAGGGGGTTGGCTTTTTATCAGTCTGCAGCTTTCCTTTAAGTCACCAAGTGCCTCCAACATTCAAAGCTGCGTGCCTGCCACACATAAAAGAGATTCTAATCACTACACCTAATTAGAGGAAAGAGTACATTGTGGAGAAAAAAATTAAGCAGCGTAAATATAATAAAAGGCAGTAATTAACAGTCCCACAAGGCGGATGCTGTGTTGACAGCTGAAGGATATAGAGAGGGATGGAATGGATCCACTTCCCCATCAAAAAGAGCCGTGGCTGCCCTGGTGGGAATCGGTGTGATATGAGAACTCCAGGTACGGGGCCGGATTTATTCCATGTATAAATCTACAGCAAAGAACCGGCTCAGATCCTCCCAGGGTGAGTCACAAAATGATATCCTGAGGGTTACAAGAGTCTGACTCCTAAATTTCCTTTTTGGATTTTGTGTAGCTGATTTCACTTTATGGTGGTGCTTGTAATTTTTTTTAATCGATGCTGTGAGACACCCTTCCTTCTAAATCACAGATCAGCCCTACAGCCTTACCTTCCTGCTCAAGGAAGAAAGCTGAAGATTGCTGAAATGTGTCATGTTAAGACACCCCCAGGTCTCCCCTTGACTACGCTGTAAAACCCACTCAGCCAGGATTCCAGGTCTGGAGGCTGCTCTAGTGAGGTGGAGAATGATCCTAATCTGACACCTTCAAGGAGAGGGTGAGGAGGCCTCGGTCTCTCTGGTGTTGCCAGGGTGGGGCCTGCTTGGTTATGGGTGTGGTCTGGGACACAGGCATAGGGACTGTAGAGTGAGAGCCTTTACGGGTAGGATGCACAGCCTCCAACACTGCTCACAGCTGCCCGGCCTGCTTGCTTGTAAACAAAACACCTATAAACACACAGACACACACACACACGCACACACACACACAGCCTCCAGCAATGCCTGGCCTGCTTGCTTATAAATGAAATGCATACACACAAATATACACACATAAACACACACACACACACACAGCCTCCAGCACTGCCTACAGCTGCCTGGCCTGCTTGCTTGTATATGAAACATACACACATGTGCACAAAACACATACACACACACATGCACACAGTAACACACGGCCTCCAGCAGTGACTACTGCTGCCTGGCCTGCTTGCTTGTATATAAAACATATACACACACATACATAGATGAACACGTACACACACACACGTACACACACACACACACACACACACACAGCCTCCAGCAGTGACTGCTGCTGCCTGAACTGCTTGCTTATATGTGAAACATATACACACACAATGTGCACACACACATACACACACACATACACGCATACACACAGACACACACCTCCAGCCTCCGGCACTGGCCACTGCTGCCCTGTCTGCTTGCTTGTATATGAAACATATACATAGATATACACAGATGTGCATGTGCACACACGCACATGGCCTCCAGCACAGGGCCTCTCAGTACCTTCCTTGCACTCCAGGGCCACGCGGGACTCCAGGTTGTCCATCTGCATCTGCAACCGCTTCAGGGTGAGGTCACTTTCGCGGGACTTGCGTTTATAGGCGATGAGCACGGCCACGATGAAGATGATAAGGAGGCCACCAGCCACCGCGATGCTGACGATGGCAGGCAGGCTGAGCGGGCTGTCGGGAGCGATGTACACCATCCCCGGGGAGTACTCCATGCCACCAACACGGGCCTGGGGCACACAGGGCAAGAGGGAGCTGGGTGTGAGGACACAGAAGCTTTGGCAGCAGTCCCGAGTTACCCATGAATTGGTGACCAGGGCAGGATGAGGGAAAGAAGACCCATCACTGGTGTTGAAATAGACAAGAGAGCATGAGGGGCTGGAAGCAGACAGGCACAGCTCAACAGAGCTCACCCCCACCTGGAAAAACCCCACCTCTTACTCAGGAGCGAGTTTTGTCATCTTCATAAGGAAACAGCATACAACTGGGACCTAAGCACAGTCTGCCACCAATGACTGGCTCCCCTAAGATTTATACCCATTGTAAGGGTGGACAGCTGAGGCACAGAACATGATATTCAGATATTATGGACTTCCCTGAGCCAGCAAGGGCCTTATTCTTGAAGGCTTTCTTGTTTGTGGCAGGTGATTTAGCAACTACTTAATGCTGTTTTGCATTTTCCTTATTGTTGCACCAGCCAGCATGGAAAGAGTGACAATTCAGAAGGGAGCAGCTCAAAAGTGGACATGAAGAAGGAACGTGGGGTGTGGGGTAGCTAAATGGAAGTTCCTGGTGGGCCAGAATCCCCTCCTGGAAATTCCTGGTGGCTGAGATGGAGCTGGGCTGCTCACATCCTCATCCCTTGTGGCCGGTCCAACCAGGATGGGGTTCTGCCAGGCTCACCATCACTTTGTGCCTGCCAATGAGGTTGGGGGACTCGCAGAGCAGCTGCACATCTGACACGGTCACGGTGCACGGCTTCTCCCCAACCAGCACGGTGTAGTTCAGCTTCACGTTGCCCCCAGCCACGGGCGGGATCAGGTTCTTGCCCTGGACAGATGGGAAAGCCCCAGTTCCCACCCCAGAGTGAGGACCACAGCTACCAGCTGACTTACATCCTCCCACCTGGAGATCCCATCTTGCCGGTGAGCTGGTGAAGAAGCCACATTTGGCAATAAGTCCGAAAAAAAAATCTGTGGCACGTATTCTACCATTGACTCTTCCAACAAGTGGGTCATCAATAATCAAAGCACTCCTTTTAGCTTATCCCAAATGCAGCCTCGGAACCCTTCTCAATGAAGAGTTGGAGTCAGTCACTATCAATTGATTCGAATTGTCATGAGTTTTAGTTAACTGTGACCCATGTTCCAAAGGAAGCCTGTACTGTGGTTAGCACAGGATTGCCTCAGAGGAAGCAGTGAGCCCCTGACCTTCCAGTACCTGGACTGTCAGAACAATAAAAGCCTGAGGGTCAAAGAGCCTCTCTGACTGGATCTGCCTGCCCTGGCTAGAACCAGCCTGTTAAGAGAGTTTTCTTCACAGAACATGCATCACTCTCTGGGCTATACTGCAACCTCTGCAAGAGATGCCGGTTGAGAAAAGTGGCAGAAGCCAGTGACTTGAACACCCCCTTCCATGCGCCAGCCCCTCCCCCCACCCACCACCCACCACCCTCACTCCACCTTTAGGATGATGGGTGTGCCAGGCTTGAGCTCCAGGATTCCTGAGGGTCCAAAGGCCTCAAACACTGGGTTGGGATAGTAGGTGAAGTTGGTCTTGTTGAGGATGAGCAGGGACTGGACATTGTCCAGGATGAAGCCAAACTCCTCGGGTCTCTCAGTCAGGTCTGACTGGTGGTCAGGACCCAGAGCGAGGGCTGGCGCCTGGCAGGTCATCTCAGTAGCATTCAGAACCTCACAGATCTGCGGGAGGAGCCACAAGGCGGAGTCTATGCAGTATCTCCACATACCCACAACCCTGGTGTGTGTATTGGGCCTCCCTGGATGCCATCGGGACAGTATGGGGTTGACAAGAGGATTAGGGATGGGTTAGGACCAAACAAGTGGGCCCTCAAGGAATAGGATCTATAGCTTGCATTCAGCTCTGGTTTTGCCCGTAGTGGGTGTGGCAATGGCTAGGATCAGAAGAATGGAAGAATAAAGGTATAAACCCCAGGTATCCCAAAAGTAATTGCTCCTCCATGCCTGTATCCCAAGAAGTAAAGATACCCTTATGTCTGCTCCCCCATCCCACTATCCTAGTACTCAAGGGTGTCACAGGCTGTGGATCATCAGTTTATGGGCAGGGAGTCACCTGAGTACTTGGGAAGCCCCACACCCTTTGGGGAAGCAAAGTGTTGCATGGGCAGCCTCCATGAGCCCTGCCAGCTTTGCACTCACGTTGATGTGCTCCTTCCCTCCATGCTTGGCACGGATCTGGGGG